TTTTTTTAAGAAGCCTTATCTCCCGTCCTTAACAGGAGAGAGAAAATCTCTGAGTTGGAAAGGTCCTCTTGTTTGATAACTTATCTGATGCTTAAAGCTGCTCTATGACATCTAGGCCAAATGGCTGTTCAACTAATATTAAAATATTCCAGCATGGTATAATGCAGAGATTTGAATTCTGAGATTGGAGCTCTGGGTTTAAATTTCAGTTCAGCAATTTATTAACTATGTAACTGAACTGGTTACTACTGTGCTCCAGTTTCCTAATTTTAAAAATTGGAATAACATAATGTATCTTTTTAAAATGTTTGGGAATTAAATGAAATATCATCACAGCATTACGCCTGGCACATAGCAAATGTTCAAAAAATGTTATACTCTTTGCAGTAAGTAGCAAATGTTCAAAAAATGTTATACTCTTTTTAGTAAAAAAATCTATTACCTGTCAAGACAGTCCATTTCCCCTTTGGACAGCACTGGCAATGGGTTCTTATACTGTGTAGAACTAGTCCAACACTATTAAGTAACACTTAAAAGTTTAATATATAAGATGTTATTTTAAGAAAAGATATTCTTCAGTGGTTTTTTAACTTTGGATATTAACTCCAGCTTATATGTATTTCTTAAGCAATTTGTCACACAGAAATGGCAGAACTTTATTTGAATGACCATAGAGAAATATGTTACCATCATATTTGAGGAGAAGCCTTTAATAATCTTATTGATATAATTACTCCACTGAAATTTTCTTTCTCAGCAAAAACAAGAAAAAGTTCACCTTCTAGTGACTCAGAATTAATTGGGTGTGGCAATGATCTTAGAAGACTAAACAGATCCTTTCCCTATTTTTATTCATCATCAATGACAAAAAATAAGAGTACGAAAAATGGTTTGTGATTTTATTATAAGACCAGGAGTTATAATTGTTTAATTATCTAAGCTTACAAGAATTTTGTAGAAAATATCATTTTTATTTAAGTTGTAGGACAGATTACAGATAATTGAATTTTCTCATTTAAGCTATCAAATGGTATCACCTACTTTGTGACAACCTAGCAAACTCAAATAAGTTTACTTTCATTGTTTTAATTTAATTTTTCACTTTATATATGCTATGTGTATTCATTTGTTATGGAATATTTTAGCTGGCTTTCTTCATTGCAGGAAATGAAATTACTTTTAATAGACCTGATTCAACAACATGAAGCCTTGTACTTCCACAATAATTTTAATTGAGGCAAGGAATTATACTTACCAGTTCATTACCTCTTGCTTTGCTCCAATCTTTCAAATCTAAAGAAAAATTATCTTCAAACTATTTAAACTATTTCCTGATTTAATAAGCTTTTTTAATAATGAAAAATGACAAGGTCAAATTTAGATAGAAGTTATCAGAACTAAGATTGAAAACCAAATATTAGAAACAATAATGTACCTGAGATCATAAATATAATTCATATGGATGAAAATATCATCAACTGTGTTTTCCCTCATATCTCTTTTGTACAGTATGTTTTATTTGTCAATAGAAACATCACAAGTGAATTTAAATTTGTAGTGGATAAGAATTCTGATTCTTGCTAACATGATTATTGCTAACAAATCATGGATAATAGGATTCCTAAAAATTACAGATGATTAAAAAAATGAAAGTGCATAAAGAGCATAAAAGAGCATAAAATAAGCTTACTGTTTCCCCAATTTTTCCAATATTTCCTTGATCTCCAACTTCTCCCTGTTAATGAAGAATATACAATTGCAAAATGATTATTTCTCAATCATGATTACTCATGACAGCTCTTCTGTTAACATTTTTAGTGCAATTGTTTAGTTATAACCTACGAAAAGGCAAAAGAAAACTCAATTATTCAAAACTCTGTTATAGTATTTCTATGGAATGTAGTCCTTCCTCTATTTTCACTCAAATACTAATGATCTATTTTCTTAAATTACATTCTCCTATTCATGACTTTTAATCACTTTTAAGACACTTTTACAAACACTTTTTACAAAAAACCCCAATTCTTATTGAGGTGTATTGTGTAAAAGGCAAAATAGTAGGCACTGTGAAAGACATTAAGAATAGTAATAATGACCTTGACCACAGGGATGCTCTATTTGCTCCAGCAGAACAGAAAACAAGCCACAGCTAAGTACCAAAGGAGTTTGTAGGTGTAGGCACCCTGTGAGCTGGAATAGCTACAGGTGGCATCACTGGAGAAGTTCATAACCCCTGAGCAACAATTGTGCATTCCACAAAGCCCTGAAAGCCCAGTTTTTCCAACTCATTTGGTGGCAAACTTGAACTAATCTGAATGTATTTGGTGGCAATGCCTAATCTGATTTGAGTAAGATCATTTACAGTCTTGATTTATTCCAATTAAACTGAACATTCTTACATCTCACTACAGAAATATTAATGTATCTGATTATGGCATGCTATCCCACGGCCTACTGGCAGTGTTAAGTAAAATACATTAATGCACCATATTACTTTTAAAAAATCCAAACACTAATGATTTCAAATAATGGATTATAAAACTGTATTTGAGTTGGGTCCTGAACAATAGGTGATACTTATACCATATTTAGTGGTGGGGAATG